TGAACAATTCGATTGTCCACCCGTAAATATGGCCGTGGTAGTCGACGGAGCATTGGTTTGTTCAAACGAGGTGAACGGTCAGGAGACTTGGCGAGATTTTCCTTCGCTACACTTTGACACTCCCCTGGTCACCGAGACTGCATTCAGCGATGACAGCGCGAGCGGCAATCTCTTCTTCATGCCATATCAATTACAGCGAGACGTGCCTGGTAAACCGAAAGAAAGGGATCCGGCCTCTTGCTTAATGGTAAGGCTTGTTAATGAGGAAAGAAAGTTGTTTGAGAGGATAGGGTTTGTCGAGGCTAGCTCGCATCAAGGCAGAGACCAGTTGCTGGTGGAGTTGGACGAAGAAACAAAAGCTCGTCTGCCTTGTCTCCGCTACGAGAACGGGCTCCATACGATCCGGATCATCTAGAACGCCGTCTAGCCCTAGCCAAGGCTATCAAATAATCCTTCCAGACATCCTCCTCTTTCCGCATAAAGAAATCCAGATCCCGAGGTCCCTTTCTAGATCTCGATAGCCCGCCTCTGACGAGCACTTGGCCCAAACCGTGCTGATGTTCAGGGTTCAGTCAGGGTCTGGAGCGCTAGAAGGCGGGATAAGTGGGGCGGCTGCGCCTCGGCCACTCCCAATCATCTGGGCACGCGACAGCCACGGCACGCACTGTCAGCCGGTGACGTAGCGCGAGCTTGTTGTATATCACGATGCCAGCCTCCCCGCGGATGCAAGTCCGATGCGCCAAAACATCACTCGAATTTCATAGTTTGTCGATCAAATTCTACCTAACCAATCACATCAACCATGGCTACTAGCAACCAGTCGGCACAATTCCAGGGTGTGTTTATCCAGTCTTGCGCTATTCTTCAACGGTCTCGTTGCTATTAGTTTGGCGATGAACAAGCGCGTATACCTATGTATGCTAACAACTTGTAGAGCCTCCTACGGATGGGCTTCCAGGGGCTACCAGCACCACCTCCCCTTCTGTCGACAGCACCGCACCCTCGCATGACAACATCGACCTTCAATTCCAAGGTTCGTGTCTCTCTACTCCATCATCCTGTTCGATTATATGGCCTACTAGGCCCACTCGTGTAGACACTCAACACACAAGCTAACACGTTCCTACAGAGCCAATTGCTCCAGAGACATCGACGTCCACCTCTACATCCACTGACGACAATGATAACTCGCTCCACAAGACCACGACCGACAAACTCAAAGACGCAGTGAAGAAGCCGTTTGGCAGTTCAGACGAATCCTCCGACGCGCACACGCTAGGCAAGAAGGAGATTACCAGTCCCGAGATGGCAGCTGCGAATGAGGTGCTTGCAGCCAAGGATCTCAAGTCGCCGTAAGGATGTAATGGCGGAGGCAAATGGAAAGAAACTAAGTCGGGCAAGTCAAATTGGCACCTGAAGATTATGAACGCCTTTGCAGAAGAAGTGATGGTGCTGCAGGGGCAGTAGACATCCTGTGTCCACGAGATGAATGCGCAACGGAGTTAAGGTATTTCATGACCTGGTTGGCAATAACCACTTAATAGCAAACTTCTATTACGTCAAATTTCCCCAGCACCCTTTAATGACATATATAAAGGTCTCATAGACCACATCTCGCATTTCATAACGCGAAGCAGTTGCACATGCGGACACGGGTACGTAGAATAACGACGTGTATTCGAAGTCAAAGTGGGTATGTACGAAGACGCAAACGTGTCTCGACCCTTCATCTTCCTCTTCACCAAAAACTTTCTACCCATCTTCTGAAATCCCTACCCATAGAACGAAGAACGAAAAATTGAACACCATCCTGATGCTAAAAAGAAGGACGCCCCACCTCTCAGACAGCGGGATTTTCGTGCAATACGGTCTGATCGAGATTCAGGTCACACTCATGTGGATGCTGAAGACAGTACTTGGGCATCAGCGGACTAGCCTGTACACCGGTCGCAACAAGATACTCCCTGAAGTTGAGAATACGCTGCGTCAGTTCTGTGGTCCTCTTGTTGCCATTGTCATCCCTGTTTCCACTCCAGACAAGTTCGGCAAGCGCAGCAGCGCGCGGCCACATCTTCTGAGAAATGACGACTGAGTCGACTTGCTCGGACCAGAGAGGCGCGATGGCGCCTTGTACAAGCGCCTTTTGGGTGTCTGTGAGGTTGAGAGTGAAGTCATAGTCGTAGATGCGCTGCCATGTCTTGTATGGTGCGCACCAGGAGCCACCGCCGCCGCCCCAGTTGAAGTTCGCTGAACCGTCTGTCGCATTGGGGTTGACCATGACATTGTACCTCTGGTCGTTGCCGACCCAGCCTCCGTATCCACAGTCCAGGTACATGAAATCGGAGCTGGAAACAATGACGCGGTAGCCCTGTCCGGTAAGATTGCTGATGTGGTCGAGACCGTTGTTCCAAGCTTGTAGGACGACGTCTTTGGGTACGACACCTGTAGCGGCCACGTCAGCGGAAAGCTTGACGTCTTCCCACATGACGAAAGTCTTGTTGGCTTGTGCACGAAAGTTGGGGATTGCGCGATCAACCCAGACTTGGTAGAGGTCGCCCATTGATTTGCCGCTGTTGAAGAATGCGAGGGCTGCAGTGGAGAAGTTGTTGCAGTTTGCAAAGAGCTCGTCACCACCAATGTGGAACCAGTTGTCTGGGAAGACCTGTGTCATTTCCTTGTACACTTTGGCTGTAACCTCGTAGGTCTTGTTGTTAAGAATATCAAGTTGACCTGGGTTGGGCTCTACGCCTGTGTGCAGTGCGTAGTTGTCGTTTGACCACCAGCTGTGTTGGCATGTAAGTAGGGACTCGTCGATTTGCGCCCAGCCGGAGCTGGCGTGTCCTGGCATATCAATTTCCGGAATGATGCGTACGCCGCGTGCGGAGGCGTAGGCGATGACTTCCTTCAGCATGTCTTGCGTGAAAATTTCGTTGGCTGAGTAGGCGTCCTCAGTCATCTCGGGATACGCATTGATTTCTACGGCCCAGGACTGCGAATCGATGAGATGCCAGTGTAGAACATTGAGCTTCGAAAGAGCCATTCCGTCGATTTGTTCAAAGATTTTGGCCTTGGTAATGAAGTTGCGGCCTGTATCGATCATGATACCGCGCACCGGATAGAGTGGCGCATCCTTGACAGCGACGGGTTGTTCGATGATCATCTTACCTGAGCCATCGTTGATCACAATCTGCTGGAGCGTGGTGAGAGCGTGGAGGGCGCCGTAGACAGTTCCAGCAGTGATATCGACAGTATCCGAGCCAGCTGCGACGTCGAGCGTGTAGGATTCATCTACACCATGTTGAAGCTCAGCGTGGGCATTCGAGACGTCAATTTTGACCTTGGTGATTGTGCTTGTGCAATTTCCGGGTGGTGCACTGTACTGCCTCTTGCGCTTTCTTGAAGCAGCGGTTGGGGTTGGAAAAGGCTGAAACAATGTGACCGAGGCTTCGGTGGCTTGCGGAATCCACTTCAGCTCCGCGATGGTCTTAGTAACGCGGTCGAACGCAGCGGAGAGCACCTCATGGTCCGGCGCATCGAGAGCGACAGATCCGAAAGAGAAGCAGCCAGAGTCGCCCCAGGTAATGTTTGTGGGTTTCGGGAGAGGGTTTGCGGCGACAGCTTCAGCTTGTCTGGCGAACAAGGCTGAGGCTGTGACCACGGAGGCCAAGATGAAATCGCGCATGGTTATTCAGCTGTCAGGATGCTACTTTGTAATGAGAGTGGGAGCAACGACTGCGGGAAGTGAGTGGGTTCTTATGTTGTTGTTATAAATGGCCAACAACCATGAGTGGTGACGACGAACAGCGTTGACGGTGTACTCCGAAGTAAATTCACAACGTGAGGGAGGGAAGGAGCATGTCTATCAATTTCGCATTGAGTAATTCAGCTTTGCCATCCTGGTTAGGCTATTCGCATCCCAAGCTCACAGATCAGCGACTGGGCGGTGCACTAACCGGGAAGTGCCCCTTAGCTGATATATCAGGGCCAGTTAGTTGCTCAGCCTTGCTGCATATGCGAGCTCTCGACAGCCTCTGCTGCAACCCATTCCCGCTCTCACCAGACCGCGCCGCCCCCGCGCTCGCATCCGTACCGCATTTCTCTTGTGGCTGCTGCCGTGTTGCAACGTACCCCACCTGCTTTGCTCATCCTTGGGAGCATATACGAAGTGTGCGCCCCCAGGTTCGATACTACGTTCTGTGTCCACGCCTTGGAATATAGCCATGGTAACCCTGCACGCTGACAACCTGCACCGAGTGCTGGGGTTGGCGTGACGGCCCCCGAGCAGGAGGCTAGAGTAAAAGTGGGTTCCCCACCACCCGACCGCGAATGGAGCTCTCGGAATCCGCGCTAAAACAAACGGCTGGTACCCCAACATGCTTGCCTCGTGTTACCATGACCTGCTCTTTCTGTTGCGACAAATTTGGCTTGACATTCCGGGGTGAGTGTGCATGTGGGAAGTCTGGTGTAACAGTCTCATATACGAGTGCAGTGGTGGTCATGGTTGTCGTGAGGAATGCAGCGACGACTTGGAAGGGTGGCGCTTCGGAGGTTTTGGTGGATCCGCGAACGCGTGGCGCCGTCCTTCTTCCTTCGGAGCTGCGAGCCTGTGCGGGCTGATGCATGAGGCACAGCAATCGGCTGTCGACATGTCTTATCACTCAATCTGCGTTGTTGGTGCGTGGAGACAATGTGGTCACTTGTCTAAGCCTGTAGTCATGGGCTGTTTCAGTGTACCAATCATGACGCTTTTATTTCTAGCAATCAAATAAGCTTCAGCTTGCGCCCTGATGCGACAGCCACGGCTGGCGGCACTGCTACCGTCTCCTCCAAGATGACGCTACCATACCTATCCGCCATACCATTGCATAACTGTGCACCGTTTGCTCACCAGTTTCAGATTTTCCTCGGCATAGGCTGGCGAACACTACAATCGGGCCGTACGCGAGAGCCAAATGTAAGACAACATGCAGGTACACGGGTTTGCTGATGTTGATGGCTGGCTATTTCTCATGTGAAGGTGCACCAGGAGCAGGAGTAGAACCAGAACCAGACGCAGGCGCAGACGCAGCCTCACCTACCGGCGCAACACTACCAGACCCAGTCACAACCTCGTGATGAAGCTCGCTTTTGATCTTAGTCCAGTCCGGTGCTGCCACACTGAGCAACTTGCAAACGTCCTTCCGCCTCTTTCTGAAATCCTCATATAAGCCCTTCCATATCCGTCTCTCAGCGCAGGTTCCCTCGGGGCTGCCCCCACAATCGGGCTGCATCTCCTCTAACGCCTGTTCTGACCACATGACTGATGGGGGAGGCAGCGGCAGGTCGCTGAACTGGATGATCTTCCCCTCCTTGTAGACCTTCTCAGCGTCCCATGGCTCATCAGCGCTGCCCAGATACTCGGAATGATTGTGGCGCCTGAACTCTGCCGTACGAAGGGCGTAAGGTCGATGTGGAAGTACTAGCGCGCTCTCCTCAAAGCGTTCGTTGAGGATCTCCATGTCATATCTGTGCATTTCGACCAACATGCTATCACCACCCCCTTCCATGCGGTTCTTGAACTTCGCAAGCTCGTCGAGGCTAGGCTTGACTACCATGAGCGTCGTCGACAATGGCCACGGTTTGCTATCCGTCCAGTATGCCCGTGCCATCGCTATCGGCGTCTGAGGGAGGAGGAAGAGCTCATCGAGAGCGTCGAGGAGCGTGATCTGCGACTCCAAAGCGATTACGCGGTCGTAGTACTCTAGGCCAAAGGCCATGAGCTTCGTGACGGTCTTGTCCCATACCCAGTCACCTGAGAACAGTCAGCCATGTGCTTGTAGAGTCTCGCTTCATGTGCCGGGCGAATGGGCACTTGCGCAACGCATACCTTCTGTACGGCCTGCTACCTCAAGCAGCCTGATAGGATGAAGCTTTGCCTTGTATACGTCGCGCGCTAAGTTGAGTAGTTGACTGTCTCGGTCCTGAGCGCTGTCTACTTTTGTGTCCCAAAACTCCGGGTAGAAGAGGACGCGGTCTGCCTTGCTACCGAATCGAGCGAGCGCGTCCAGGACCATCACGGCGTGGCATAGCTGGGTGCTGTCGGTCGCGTACACGCTGTACGCATAATTCGACCAATTGGCCCTGATAGTATCTCCAGTATGAGGTGTCGTCTTGCGCGATGGATAGAGGATCCAGCAGATAAGGAAGAAGCCGAGGAAGTAGTACGCGTGGCGGCGTCGCAGGCGGAACGAGGGAGATTTAGCTTCGTCTACGAACCGCGGCAGCTCATCTGATCGTCGCCGACGCATTGTACGGTTGGCGTTGACGTTCGACCGACATGTTCGAGCGATTGTGTTGGTTGTTCAGGTGTCAGGAAGCGACTGGTGACGCGGAATCGCGGAAGTGTAGTGCGGAACTCCGAACTTCCAGGCTGCGACGCATTACGGCCTTGCATTGACAACTTTATATACTAGAGTGCGCACTATGTCCCTCTAGGTGTAGAAATTAACGACGGGTATCTTTCAGAAAGGGAGGAACATGGCATATGTGTAAGATCTGTCAAAGGATTATCACAACACGCATGAGACCGTTTTGATTCGACAAGATGCATTGTATCATTGCCGTATGCCAGGGTCACTTTTTGTAGTATGGTATCAAACATCCCAAACGCCGCGGCTGTGCAAACTCCACCGGTCCCGGGACGGGTAACTCTGGGTGGGAGACGTTGTCCTCATTCAGCTATGTAGCACCCTCTATGGCATATATCGTTCCATCGTGATCGTGAACACTTCTTGGTGCAAACGCTTACTCCTCAGGAACTGCGCTCTGTTAGTGATTGATTTTCGCAAATTGCCAAGTATAACATACTCTCAATCTCGCCAGCCTTGATGTCATCAGAGACATCCTTGGGGCTGCGACCGTCAACCTTGCAGCCGGTGCTGAAGGCAGTTCCGAGGATCTCAAGAACGGTACCCTGGAGGGACTTGGCCATCGACTTGAAGCGCATGGTGCGGGCAATGCTGATGATCTCATCGAGGGGGACGCTCTTGGTGTGCTTGATGTTCTTCTCCTTCTTGCGGTCCCGGGGAGGCTCCTTGAGGGCCTTGATGACGAGGGAGGAAGCGGAGGGAACGACGGAAACGGCGGCTTGACGGTTTTGGATGGTCAACTTGACGGTGACACGGAGACCCTTCCAGTCACCTGTGGCCTTGGCGATATCTTCACCGACCTCTGCAGAACGAATTAGTATTTCCATCCATGTGCGCTGGTCGATGGGTTCGTGGCGTACTCTTAGGCGAGAGACCGAGGGGACCGATCTTGGGGGCGAGCGCGGATGAGGCACCGACTTCACCACCGGTCGCACGGAGGTGAATGACCTTCACCTCGGAGGGATCGAACTTGGGAGCTTTGAGGATGTAAGCGCATGGCGATTTCTAGGAAAGCCTGGCTGTTGAAGATGATTGAATTCTCTGAGTGTCAAGAAACACCCTCCATTGGGTGTCCTAGCCACTCAGAAACTTCGCGCATCTTCGTAAGAGCCGACCAGAAGGATGATACTCACGCATGGCTAGTGCTTGAGGTAGTCAATCGGTTCTGGTTGTAAAGAGAGACTGCCGTTAATTTTGTCGGTTCGAAAGTTCGTGAGAAACGGATTCTCGGTGGGGAGCAATATTGGTCGACCTGTGAGAGAAGCGAGCCTTGGCAGCACCTTCCCCAATGGGCGATAGCATCTTTGCGTGCATCTCGGGCATCTCGGGCAACGCCGCATTGCTTCACATCATATTCCACCACTACGTGAGTTGGTCTTCCAAATGCATGGAGAGAAAATCCCTATGTCAATGTATGATCGCTCTCTTGCTTCAACATCACACGTCCAAAATAGTGACCAACACGCTTCACACAACGCCATCCACGATGCCAGAACAATGTGACAATGTGAAGATGCCCTCATCATGATTATATTCTGCAGTGACAAGACCTTCTTCTGATACAGGTCGTTCATGTTCCTCAACCCCTTCATATACCAAACGTCCACCAGCCAGCAGCACGAGCACAGCCGACAGCAGCACGACAGCACAAACACCATGTACTTCACCTGATTGGCAATCAGTATGCACGAATACAAGACCTGGTATCATATTTCCTTTCAAATAACAATAGTCTTCTTACTTCCTCGCAACTGTATCTATATCTAATTTCCACGGGAACGATAGCACAACACAGCAAACCATGGTCATACAACCTCCCTACAGAAACATACACAGACGCTGCGAGAAGGCAATTCAAATGAGGGATCAGATCGACTTCCTTGTACGTGTGATTCAAAATGACTTTATACCTCGTGGAAACATTCTAAACACCGTGGAATAGAATCGAGCCGAAAACGACAAGGGCACTTCGAAGAAGAAGGATGACGAAACACCAGCGCATGAATGTGTTCAGGGAGAGTCAAAACCCGACGCTACCAAGTCGTCGCCTGATGTCGATACCATAACCCTTATATGGCCTCTACCCCCGTCCGCCATACACGACGGTCTCTTGTTCAGGAAAGTGGGATGATACAATGGGACATGGCGAGTTGCCTTGATACACTATTTTTATTCCGTTTCTCGCGCGCGCAAGCATGCGACTTCTATAAGCATATGAGGGTCCCGATTGAGGGAAATGTGTGCCATGAGAAAAGCTGGCAATATTTACTCTATGACCACCTGAAATGACAACTCGCTGGTAACGCCTATCAATACCACAGAGCCAATAGCTATGTCCGAAATACCTCGGTAGTGATTTTCTCCAGAGCGTAATTCTTTCTCCAACAAATCATCACGCACCTCGGCCTCTGGAAATGCCCAGTCCCTGAGCTGCGGGAGCATTCTTTTCCCTCTCACTCACGCTACTCCTTCTCCCAGCGATGGCCGACACACTTTCGCTCCTTGAACTATCCATGCTCTGCCTCATGCTACTGGAGCTAGACCTGCGCCTAGCACGTCTCGCCTCGTCGGGGTCATGGGGATTCAGCCCGCTTGCTCTTGCGAACAAATTCAGGATATCCGTGAGACTGATGACGCCACTCAGTCTGCCAGATAGGCTAGCCCCTGGCATAGCAGAGATTGCTGATGCAGAGATAGCTGGGGCAACCGCTCCGGTACTAGCGAGGTGGGTCGGCGCAGTTGAATTGACGGGTGTTGGGCCGGCCATCCCTGGTAGTGGTGTAATTGGCGAAGGAGGAACAACAATCGCAGGTGTAATCGCAGGAGTAGATGGTCCTGAAGACGCCGGAGACGGTGCATCCACGACCCACATGCGATGCGAGCGGGTTGCGACTAGCTTGGCCACAGTGTGTGCGAGGGTACTGAATGGGTTGACGTGGAACACGGGGAAGGAGTCCTTGCCGTCGTTTACTCCCCGTTCAGACAAGATGACAGATATGAAGTGAATACAGGATGAGCGAAGCAGTGGGAGCGATGTGGATTTGGTCAAGAGCTATGAGCCAGCCGTTAGTCGCGTAATATGAAACTGACCAGAGGAGACTTACCCGAACATCCACATGGGATATGTTGCCGATAACGTTGTTTTGCGCGTCCAAGACTGGGAGTGACGACACGCCTTCGTTGTTCATGAGCTCCAGAGCCGCTGCAAGAGGCTTATCTCCACTAACATCCAGTCAGCTGTGTGATTTCTGCGAACCCGCGCTATACTCACTTGATGGCTAGAACGGTCTTGGATCCAAGATTCAGGTCTTTGATCAGCTGTGGGTACAGCTGGTTTACGCCTGGGAAGCTCGATCGGTTCTCCCAGAAGAATTGCACCAGTCTTAGCTGGGTAAGTATGCCCTTGACGTTCGATGTGCCTTCTTCTGCGACCAACACTCTATGTACGCCGCTTCCGAAGACTTCTATGGCCTTGGACAGATCCGTTGTCTCGTCGAGAGTAATCAACGGCTCCTTCCTGCCACCAACCTCTTTTACGTCTTTGAGCGGTATGGGTTTTCCTTCTCTTCCTTTCTGCGCAAGCTCGTCGAACGAGGCGATGTCGCCTTCTTCGGGGTGCGCGAGGCCGACTACGAGGAGGAGGTACGCGTTCAGGTCGCTGTAATCGAAGGTCCCGGTCGCATGCCGTGTGTTGGCGTCTTCGCGCAGGAGGACGACATTGGGGGCGCCATGTTTGACTAGTATCTATGCAAATCAGCCATGCGCATGAAGATAGCTGTGCATAACCCACGCTCGTCGCATCCTCAACGCTGGTATCGTACTCGACGAACCTGACCAGGTCAGGATCGACAATCTCTCCCAGTCTGACGGTCTTCCAATCGCGTCCCTGGAACTTTGGATCACCACCCTTGGTTGGTGGGTTGTTGAGGAGGTCTTGTAGCGCTTGCTGTGTGAGCGAAGGCTGCCGTGACGCGCGTGGTGATGTGGGCGTTCCTCGCATGTGCTCCGCGAAGCTCGAACGGTGGGACGATGCCGGGCTGGGGCTGGAGCCCAATTTGAGCGCAGTCGGAGGTGTGCGGCCGATGGAAGATACCGAGCTGTTGAGGGACGTGTCCTTGACGTCAATAGCCTCCGTGGTGTCGTGGTCTGCCATGGTGACGGCGGCTATGTTATGGCGTATGCGGGGCTCCACACAAAGTGTTTGTCGGAACGCGCGGGTGCGGAGGTACTTGTATGCGCTTGGTGGCTAGATGCTCTGAATGGTCCTGTCGCAAGGAGACGAGCAGTCGCGCGTCTTGCAGCTTCAAGTTGGGCTGAGTGGTGTTTGCGGCATGTGAAGTGCGACGAGGTGGGGAGGGCTTGCCTGCAGATGCAGAGCCCAGAAGATCGTCTCCTGCCTGGCCAGGGCACTTGGGCCGCAAGCTGCAGCCAAAATGCGGGGTGTGATTCGCTGCATACCATTACTATCAACCGTGTCGCCCAAGATTGCGCATCGACTGACACAGCCTTGCGGGGTTACAGACGCGTCCGCGAGTGACGGCGGCGGACGGGCGCTCCAAGCCATTCAATCGCGTGCGCGACGTCATACTGAAGTATAGAGAAACCGGGGAAGCACGCCAATCGCGCAAGGGGTCCAAGGCTCTAAGCGTGGTCAATCATAATAGCATTGCATTCATAAAAAAAACTCTTGTTCGCAGCCCTCAGGCTGGTTGATTTCCGCCCATACTAACATCCTGAACAATTGTCAAGGAATAGCCTTCCGTGATCCATCCGGTTTTGCCCAACGCCCGCCTCCAAGCATGACTCGAGTGAAACAAGAAACATTTCCCTAAGCGTCCTTCTGCTGCTCATAGTCCATGCCAGCATCTTTGTCAGCTTGACGCTGCGCCATGCGCTCGCGAATGGCGTCTCCAGAAGTAGAGTCTCCATCACGACCACTGGCGGGGGGCGCATGGCTCGCTGTGTCGACGACGTTGTCATCGTAGGTCATGCCGTTCATCATGCGTGCTTCCTTCTTCTGTTGCTCCGTGCTGGACATGGTCTGCGTCGAACCAGAACTGACAGGCACGCTGACGCCGGACATTGGACTGGTCGGCGTCTGTTCTCGCAAGTAGCCCGGCAGAGCGCTTGCCTTTCCAACAGCAGGGCTGCCGAGTTGACTATGCTGCCGAGCTGGTGTGCGCGCACCCTCGCCGAAACCGACTAGAGAGGCGGCTTCGTCACTGAAGCCTCCGATGCTTGATGTGTCCATGTCCTGGTCCTCGCTCATGCGGTCCGGCTCGTAGACATCGCTGCCACTTGCCCACGTCGTGCGACCGCCAACGGATCCGGTTGCGCTGGCACTGCCAACCGTGCTGCGCTCACGGAAGAGCTGCGGCTGGTTGTTTGCGTCAAAGTAGCCTGGCGGAGGATTGGCTGCACTGCCTGGGTTGAGTCCTTGGGGAGTGCGGCCCGACACTGCAACGCGCTCGAGACCGGCCAGGCGCGAGATGCGGTCGGCACGCTCAGCTTCAGCAGGGTTCCGGTGGTGAGGGAAGTGACCGCGATGTCCGTCTTTGATGGCGACAGTCGAGAGCTCAGACATGGTCGTGGTGACCGAGTTCGGGGTACCTCTGTGTATACAGCGTCAGTCCGACTATTTCAATGAACCCCACCAAGCGCATATGCCTTACGGAGCATCACCAGGCGTCTCGTCGCCAGACGGCGGAGGCGGCAGGTTGATCAAGGTGGGCGCGTTGGTTGCCATTGTAGATGTGTGGTCTGGATTGGTTCTTGCTATGTGCTGTGAATGGTGGATGGCTCAGGAGAAGTACAGTAATGTTTTAGGAAGTCTGGTTACAAGGAGCCCGGGCCCCGTGACGAATGACGTAGCCGACGGACTGGTAGCGCTTGGAACAAAGCAAGGGCAAAGGGGCTGATCACGCCTTCTTGTAACAGATTGAACGTCTTTACGCGATCGACACCCAGCTTAGATATGTAGTTTAGACTGACTTGAGTCAACTTGAGAGATAGTCTCGCCGCCTCACTCTTGGGCCCCTTTGGCCGTTGGCTAGGCGTTTCTTGACGCAGGGTCTTCTTGCCCTAAAATTTACCGAGCCGCTGATTCGCTACCAGGGCAGTGGTTGCTTCACTATCGC